AGCATCCAGCACTGACTTAGCTCTACTTCCACAATGAATGATGGTGGCCCCAGCCCTCTACCCTCCTTCTCCCAGTGTCTCAAGGGTATGGAGATCTCCCTGGGACTTTGAAACCTTATCTTTATTAACCATAGTTTAGAATTTTATACCGAGGAGATGTTACTCAGTAGTAATTTAGTGAATATCACATCTATAGCCTTGTTATTTTTTACTCTTCTAGAAAATGGAAGCTGAAAGGGTTCAAAGGCTTCTACATTACATTTTGAAGAGCTCAGCACCTTTGTTCCAAAAATAAATACCTGGCTTAAAAATAAATAATTAAGTGGGTTCAAACCGGAGACTTACACAGCTTTTGAGGATATTCACATATGATCAGCTGTTGAAAGAGTTGCAGTTCAGCTGTGCTGCGCTAAGATTTAGTGACAGGGGCACCCAGGGATCAGACTCAAAGGCAGAACCTTAGTCTTTTCTTAGCGAACAAGGAATAGGTATAGAGACATCAGACTAGATGACACAGAGAGATAATAAACAGTACCAAGAGTCTTGAATGCTTTCCAGCAGCGTGGAAGACTGGTATGGCCCATCTTTAGGCCAAGATTCAATGAAGAACATGAAGAACAATTGTAAGTTCATTCTTAGTTGGCAAAGCACATCAGTTTATGCTTATCTTTAACCTGTGATTATTGAAGATAATAAAATTTATGCATGCACTTAAAATTAAGCAAGAGCTTTATTGTTTTGTTGAAAGGAATCCATAGCATGCTGGGGAGAAAGTAGCCTGGCCTGCCATGGCCAAGGGAAGCTGTTTTTATATAAGGCTGCATGACAAGGTAAAAAAACAGGGAAAACTTTTTGAAGAAGATTTCCTCATCCTCACTTCCCACTCCATATCCTCCCACCTTCCTAAATTACCCTTTTTACATCTCAATTGATGGAAAGACAAAGAAACCACTGTAACCGAGCAGAGCTGCAGAATGTAGCAAAAACTGCAAGGGGCAAGACTGATAAAAGCAAGTCTGGTCCAGCTTGAATATATGAGGCAAAATAAGTAAAAGAAAGCAAAAAATGTACATTGACAATGAAGAGTATTATAAGCATCGTTGCTGCAGTCTGTTAAAGCATTTGCAGCAGACAAAAGATACAAGAGGAATTGGCAAGTAGAATTAACAGAAGAGAAAGGATTAAAAAATAGAAAAGTTATTAAATTAGTTTTTTTCTAATTGTTTTAAACAGTGGAGCACATGCTCTAGTATACTGAGAGTCGGGCACTTGTACACATCTTTTTCATTGTTTTGAATGAAGCTCAAGCGTATGATTAAAAGTCTTTCCTAAACATGAGTGTTTTTCTGAAATCAGACCAAAGACAGGAATGGAGAACTCCTTGAACAGGAATCACATTTCCAAACATAGGTCCCGGTTCAACCATGTGTATGTGTGATGCTATATTTGAAAATAGTGTATGCACGTATCGCAGAGGGAGTACTTAATGTGCTTGAAGTTGGCAGCACGCTTGAGCACCCTGTTAGATTGTGGTGAGAGAGAGAAGGTAAAAGCTGTAAAGGAGAAAGAAAATACTTGTGAAAGGTTTAGGCATTTTTCCAGATTGCTGGTACACTGTAGTGTGCTTACTATTAATGCTGTAACTTCTTTAGAGCAGAATTCTGCTCACATAGCTGATACGACTTTGAAATTCAGACTTTGCCATTTCCAGGTCCAGGTAACATTTTAAAAAGAATAACTGGTTTTAATGAGAAGGGAGATAATTATTTTTATTTATTTTTCTGAGGGAAGGGAGACAGGGGGTAGACGGATAATTTGACAGCAGGTAAGAAGCCCTACTCTCTAGGCTTTTAGGGAACTAAAACCTAAGCTTTAGGAAAGAAAGCTTAATTTAAAAAATTACTCATTGCTAACTGATTCACTGTTTTTAGGAAATACAGTAAGAATATGTTTGGTTTCAGTAAATTAACATCTTGAAAAGAATAACTATTTTGGAGACAGAAAATATTAACTTATGGAGCTCTTGCTGTAAGGATTAAATGCAGTACCTTGACTATTGCCATGGTCCTGTAGAAAATAATGAGAAATTAAGGAAAAAAATTAGAAGTATGCATCAGAAAGTTTAATCTTATTCCTAAGTTAACCTTATTTGAAATTGAAAAAGCTCAGCTATCTTTTTTACCTCTTTCCTTGTATTTCTGTAAAGTCAATATCTGTAGAACCTTTTAGACACTATACAGTTTGAGCTTTTAAATTATTTTTAATTTTCATTTGTTTATAGGCTTTATAACATTATTTATTCAGTCTAGATATATGACAAATCTCAAATAAAGAAGGTGCTCATGACTTTCTTGGTCTTACACTGCCATTTGGATGGTGTTCAAGTTTAGCTGAATATTAAAACCTTATGAAGATTATCCAAATGATATCTGTAGATCAGTGGTTTCCAACCTGTAGTCTGCCATCTGGGAATCTCTGGATTATTCCTGAGCAGTCCGTA